ACAGAAGGGTTCAGCTCACGGCTGCCATCCAAAGAGTTCAGACACATTGAGGATGCGGAGGCAGCTAGTCAGTCCTCAGGAGCTATCCAAGCACCGTTGTGGCTCCTGTCTCTTGTGGATGGATGTGTCTAAAGGGGCATAATATAAACAACAGTCACAGGGTCAATCCATCATTGACTGAGGGCTCACTGTGAAGCCATCCCTCGCACACCGCACACACCCTGGCTGAGCACGATCAGTAACCTGAGGAGCTGCGTGTTGTGTGCAGGGGAAACCCCCACAGCCTACGGGGTGATGAATTTCATATACATGGCCAACTGGGAAAGGCACAGTCTCAAAATCTAGGATCCCCTTCCAACCTTGCTGGCCGCTCTCTGGTGTTCTCACCTACCCTGACCATGATGTGCCCAGAGCACCTCTGGCAAACGCGTATGTCGTGCCTCATGGTCAACAAATAAACAGCTTTCAAAGGGTCTTCATTTGTATGTAGAGCTTGAAATTAGCTGCTAAGACAATTCACAAGACTGCTGGAGACCTTCAGAGCACTCAGGGCCAGGGACGCAAGAGGTGGCCCCTCCATTCCTCTCATCACCCTATAGGACTGGGTTGCTAAGGGCCTTTTGGGTAGCTGGTTGGTTGCCTCCCACATCTGCCTCTCACTGTCCCTGGTTTGCCTGCATGGCAAAGGGACTCTCACCCAAAGTGTTCAGATGTGTGCACCTTGTAACTCTGTGTTTTGTAATGTTAAAAATTAGGTTTTGGCCACGCAGGGTGACTCAGGCCTATAATCCCAACACTCTGGGAGGCCAAGGTAGGGGGATGGCTTGAGCCCAGGAGTTTGAGACCAGCCTGGGCAACATAGCAAGACTCAGTCTCTACATTTTTTTTTAACTAGTCGGGTTTGGTCGTGTGGGTCTGTAGTCCCAGCTACTCAGAAGGCTGAGGTGGGAGGACTGCTTGAGCCCAGGAGGTCAGGCTATGATTGTGCCACTGCACTTCAATCTGGGAGGGAGAGTAAGACCCTGCCTCCAAAAACACAAAAGAAAAAAAATGCTTGTTTGGAAATCTGAAATAGAAATAAATTAATAAATTTTAAAATAAAATAAAAATAAACTCAAGCATGGGAAAGCATTTTGAACATGGCAACATGTTCCTCTTACTTTTAATTCTGCATTATTTGGACATTTTTTATTTTATACAATGTGAATACATTGCCTTTTTGAAACTAAATATTCAAAAATAAATTATATACACAAATATATGTACAGAGTTATATACATGTTTATCTATACTTTATTCATCCATTCATTTATTATTTTCCTGGCTTTCTGTCCAATTTTAAAGTACTGCCCTGCTTTCAGGAAAAGCCAGAGACATGCAAATAAAGTTTTTTTACACTGATCGGGCCAAAATAACTCCAGCTTTAGAAATTTTGATTCATTTCCCTATGTTCTTCCAAGAAGCTCTCTGTGGCGATCTACAATCTCATTCTTCTTCATTCCACTCCAAAAGAATGAAGATTCCAACGTATCTCACAGATAAGAGCACTGCTGAATTTAGATTCTTGCTTTTATTACATGACCTTGGACGACATGACTCTCCATCCTGTTTCTTCCTTTCTTTCTAGATGTAGATTTCAATATCTTTCTTTATTAAGTTTCAAGTCAGTCATGTCTTTGTTTTTCCTTCCCTTTGCTACAGTAAAAAGTACTTTTCCCTGACAAGTGTCAGAATTAGACCACCAGGTAGGTGTCACATCTATCTCCTCCTCCGAGTCCCCTTCAGAGTGTGTGTGCCTCCCATAGAATGGGAGTAGGGTGATCTTTAGGCCTTGTCCCGCGAATAGATCATGGTCTCTGCATTAGACAGACCTGGTGGCCAGGAAAGAAACCCCATAAGACCATCTAGACAGAAAATGTGCAGACCCCCGATTGCTGTTTCAGCCATGCTCAAGATTTACTTAAAGACAATCCAATGAAGTGATCAGAAGATCAGGCCAAAGTCAGCAGCTAAACTTGTAAAAATCATTCAGATCAACGCTATTTTTACAGAAACTAAAAGAAAAAAACTTAAACTCCTCCAACTTTCTTTTCGTTTCTTTTCTTTTTTTCTGAGACAGAGCTTCACTCTGTCACCCAGGCTGGAGTGCAGTCGCACAAAATTGGCTCACTGTAACCTCTGCCTCCCGGGTTCAAGTGATTCTCCTGCCTCAGCCTCCTGAGAGTAGCTGGGATTACAGGCACCCGCCACCACATCTGCCTAATTTTTGTATTTTTAGTAGAGACAGGGTTTCGCCATGTTGGTCAGGCTGGTCTCTAACTCCTGACCTCAGGTGATCCACCCGCCTCGGCCTCCCAAAGTGCTGGGATTACAGGTGTGAGCCACCATGCCTGGCCAAACTCCTCCAATTTTCTTGTATCTATTGATGAGTTGAGCTAATACAAAGAGTTCATTAGAGCTTGTTCCTTTGCTCAGCCTGACTGTTCCATCCAACCTACTGCTGTACACAAGGTGTCCTAGCTGGGTCAGGGGACCCTCTGGGGGACTGCCTACAGCCCCACCAGCATTACCTGTTTGCCATGGCAAACTTAAAGACTGTCAGCAAGTAGGATCCAAACCTAGGCAGGCACATCTAGAGTGGCTGACTGGAGCCTCATCACTGAGTGAGGATGGGAAGCTAGATAATCCAAGAATAGTAAGAAAGAATCTGGTTCATTAGCCCAGACTCAAATGGAAGAGGAGGAGAACGGCAGCTCCAGGTGCAGCACAGTGGCTATTATGGAAACCAGCCACAACTGTGGGAAGAAAGTGCTGGGTAAACACACTGAAGAGCTCTTTCACTAGAGGCTGGGACACACCAGGGCCCGGAGAACATTGCCGGAGGGCCCCTCCCACAGCGAACCCCACTCATGTGCTGGGCACAGTGCTCTGGCGGCACTGTGATGGCTGAAAGCGCCACAGGGACCCTCAGGCTGGCAATGGAGCTACCACTCAGGAGACGCTGGGCTGCAAATAGCCAGGGACCTCCAGCATGGCTGACAGCAGCCAGGACAGCCGCTCAGGGCAGCAGCAAATGAAGTGACCTGCAGGGACTGCACCTGCTCATTCCATAGAGCCCAGCCTGCAGGACCACACCTGCTCACTCTACAGAGCCCAGGGAGGGTGGCATAGGGGGAGGGGTCTCCCTTGCCTCCTCTGAAGAGCATTCTTGGGTGAGGCAGAGGCAAAGCCTCTGGGAGCAGCTAGAAAGTGCAGGCAAGTGCAGGCTGGCAGGCTGACATGGCCTGCCATCATGCGTATCCCTAGGCTGTGAGGCCAGGGCCAATGCTCCAGTCCAGGGAGAAAGTACAGATTCAGTGTCTCATTGAGTTCACTCTGCCCTTCTTCCCTGAGGTCAGACACTCACTCTCCCCTATGTCCCACAGATGCACCCCAAGAGTAAGTGTAGGCCAAGCCAGCCTGACATTTAGTCCCCTCTGCTTCCAACCTGGTGGCCTATGCTGCCTGGTTTTCCACAATGGAGTTCCAGGTGAGATTTCCTCTGAAGACAAATTGTGCTTTGTGGCACATGAGTGTTTAAGGAACACGAACTTCACATATAACTGCACAGAATATTAAAGCACAATGGGATTTAAGAGGCCATCTAACCAAAGTCTCATTTTACCGATCAGAAAACTAAGGCCCAGAGAGAAAATGAGGCCCCCAGCCCCTCAGCCGTCACCATCTGAGCTTGCACCAGAACCAGGACTCCCGACTCCCTGGAGCCACTGCTGTGCCCTGCCCCTTGTTCCCCACACACTATTCCCTTTGGGCACACATTTCTGGAAGGGTGACGTCCCAGCCCCTCAGGTTCCAGCCCCACAGGCTCAACCAGCCTCCCTCCTTTCTTCCACAAATGCAAGCAAGTCGCTCCCCACTTCCCTGCCAGAACAAAATGCCAAAAACCAGAGAACTAAGCCCCACTATAGGCTGAAGAAGTGCAGCCCCAGCTTACTATCAGGTAAGTCATTTCCTGACAGAAATGCAGCTGCAGTGAGGCAGGAAAGCCGGGAGCCAGGGACCCTGAGGTCAGCCCGCCTGGCCGCACTCATCCCAGGACCATAGTCAGGTACAACAGCCGGGCTGTGGCCCAGCCCTCCAGCCCTTCCAACTCAGGAAGCACTGAACTCCTGCGAGTGCCAGGGAGTGCCCCTGCCCTGCCTCCTCTGAAGAGCATTCTGGGGTGAGGCAGGGACCTAGGACAGACAGGCGTGCTCAGTTAGCTCAAGCAGAATGGAGGCTCCACCGGATGGGATGGCCAGGTCCAGGCTGGGGTCAGGAGTGCCAATGATCCCTCCCAGCCCCCTTGGAAGTGGCCACCCTTTGGTGTTCTGTGTGGAGTTTTGGGGTGTGAGTCCCCAGGAACTCTCAGGCTGAGGGCTCCAGAGGAGGCACAGGCAACGTTTCCACTCCAACTCAGGGTCCTCATTCTATGGAACCAGGCAGGGGGAGGGCGTGGGTGGGTAAGGCAGAAGCTCAGAGTTTCCAGCTGGCCCAGACCTGATTCCTGGCACCACCCCACTCCCAAAGAGCATCGGGAATGGGGGGACAGGGATGGGGACGATGAACCCAAGAGAGAGAAACACTCTGTGTTCCTCCCTGGGCTTGCCTGTTCCCGACTTCGAGTAATCATCCAAAACAAGGAAACCTGCCAGGAGATACATTAAGTCTGTAAGCGAAGAAGGCTCCGGGCAAAGAGCTGTCAGTCACAGGGAAAACCCAACACAATACATGGATTCTACTCCTGTTCCGAGGCAGGGGCGGTTCCCACTCAACCTTCCCACCGCCTCCCCCGCTGCACACACACGCGGACACAACTGTGAAGGCAAAAAAGGATTTGTTTTCCAAAGTCACCAGGAAAATCGACACCAAAGGAGGCAGAGGGAGTATGGGGCCGGTGGCTCCTCCTTGGATGAAAGAAGCAGGGGCAGGAGGAGGGGGTTCAGCCCTGGGCCTGGACTTCATTCCACGTCCACGGGGCCTCCTTGCTGGCAACTGGAGGTCCGTTCCCAAAAAGTCACGGCCACTAGAATGCTCCAGGCCATCTGGCCTTCCTCTCCAAGACACGCAACGTGGAATGACTCCAGGATTCCGTCTTTACATACCCTGGCGTCATCCCTTTCTTCACTGAAGAGTGGGTCCACACACGAGATCGGGGGCAGCTAGGAACTAATTTCAAGGGTGGGATTCGTACACTGCTGGTGACCTAAAGAGATGGGGTCCCTAGTTGGCTCCTCCACCCTCCTCAGGAAGATCTTCTTACACTCCACCAGAAGAAAGGTTCACCTACCAACACAGCCAACTTCTGGGGAGAAGTCACGAGCCAGAAAGCACACAGTGAGTGCCCTAAGCGTGGCATCTGAAGGGCTGAAAGAGTCCTGTGGGTCATGCCTCTGGCTTCCTGTTCAGTGCAGGCCTCCAGGTATCGCAGCTAAAAGGCCGCCAGGTCTCTGAATAACTTCCACAGTGGGACCCTACCACAGAACAAGGCAGTCCGCCCCTCTACGGAACCAAGTTTCATTTCCTCAAGCCCAGTTCTGCCGGTGCCACACAGGAGTGTTCCCTTGGCTGGACTGCACAGCCTTGGCCCTCACATCTGTTTTCCTCCTGACACCTGCAGTCCTAAGAGGTGGACATCCTGAAACACATGGGCTTGTTCATTTGAAGGGGGAATATGGGGAAGAGAATGGCCAGGCCCCGAGAAAGTGGAAAATGTCTAGGAATGACAGGCGTGCCAGCTCGTTTTCTCTCAGCTCACAGTTCCTCTTACACAAAATCTCTGCCATCGGCCGCCATGGCCGAAGCGATGCTGAGTGCTCATTCTAAATGCTGGCATCAGCTCAGAGGAACAGCATGGAGGCTGGGTTAGAGCACCAGGTCACGTGCCACTGCAGGCTGGTGGCCCCGATGCATCCATCCCACCTGTACCAGGGCCTGCTATGGGCTCCGTTCCCTCTTTGGGGGTAAGCCTGACTCTACATCTCAAGACTGGATTTTTCAAGCATCCTCTCTGATTTAATGCTTTCAATCTCAGGGTCTTCAGCTAATATTTGCTCTCCCTGTGGGTCCACAGAGAAGGTGAGCGGATAGATCGGTGTGTATTATAATTACCTCTGAAGTTCTTTTTAAACTTCTCTGAGAAATACATTACCTTTACTATCCTGGCTTCAATTTGGTATATCTATAAAAGGCATTCACCTGCTATGGTTTAAGGAAAGTGCAGCATGTGTCACAAATGCTTTAAGGGAAGGGACCAGGGCGTCCTGACAGCCTTCACATAAACAGGAAGCCCTTCCAGGGATGCCACACGGAGCTGTGAGAGGGCAGCTGGGACTGGCCGCCACGGGGTGAATGACGAGTTAGAGGAGAACTGCACTTTGTACACTGGACATGGTAGCTCATGCCTATAGGTAGGAGGATAACTTGAGGCCTGGAGTTCAACACCAGCCTGGGCAACATAGTGAGACCCCGTTTCTATTTTTAAAAAATTAAAAATTTGGCACGGCACAAAGGCTCATGCCTGTAATCTCAGCACTTTGGGAGGCTGAGGCAGGTGGATCACCTGCGGTCAGGAGTTCAAGACCAGCCTGGCCAACATGGTGAAACCCTGTCTCTACTAAAAATACAAAAATTAGCCAGGTGTGGTGGTGGGTGCCTGTAATCCCAGCTACTCAGGAGGCTGAGGCAGGAGAATCACTTGAACCCGGGAGGCAGAGGTTGTAGTGAGCCGAGATCACACCATCACACTCCAGCCTGGATGACAGAGTGAGACTCTGTCTCCAAAAAAATAAAATAAAAATAAAAACTAGCCACGCGTTGTGGTATACACCTGTAGTCCCTGTACTTGGGAGGCAGAGGCAGAAAGATCGCTTGAGCCCAGGAGTTCGAGGCTGCACTGAGCTATGATTGTGCCACTGCAGTCCAGCCTGGGCAATAGAGACCCTGTCCAATAAATAAAAACTACATTGCACTTTGTAGTTTCCAAGACTCTTCCATACACTCATGGGGTCTACACACCAGCTCTGTGGGGGATGCATGATGGCCATCATTCGGCAAATGAGAAAACTGTGGTTCCAGGCACTGCCTTTGGCCAAAGCCATGTGACTAGTAAATTGTGGGCAGGAATGAAAACTCAGTTCTGAGTTTTAGAAAGTAACTGCTTCCAAACTGCTTCCCCAAAGGAGGCTCTCTCCTACCCTATGCAGTGGAAGGGGCTCCTATGACGTCCGTCGCTGGGTTTCTGAGAACACGGGAAGCAGCAGCAGCACAGAGACACATTCAGGAGAGAGGCTGCAAATGCGGGGACCAGCCCAAGAAGATGGCGCTGGGACCACGATGTCCAGCAGCTCCCAGCCCTGGTCAGAGACCACTGATCCACAGTTTATACAATGCACTGCCCTTTGCAGTGGTCCTATGCCCTCCACTGCACCCCCAACTCTACCCTTCAATGAATTCGTCCAACTCAGTTTCCATCTGCTCCACCCTCTCAGGCACATAGAGGCTCCTCTTCCCCATGCACTCAAGGTGAAGGCCAGTGTTCCCAGGGGCCTTGCCTGGGGAGCAGGAGGTGCCAACCAAGATTTTACACCTAGAGAGCAAGTCACAGAGTTTTTGCCACAGAACAAAACCACCCAACTGCAGAGCTGGAGGAGATCACAGATCACCTATGGTGACCCCTTCAATGCGCCTAAGGAAACAGGCTCGGAGATTTGAGCTGACTGGCCAAAGTCACAAACAGTTCAGTAGCAGTGCAGAAACTAGGTGCCAGGACTCCAGAACTTGTGTTATTTTTTTTTCTTACCCCATATTTTATCTTCTAACGCAAGTCTTTGTTTTTGTTTTTTAACAAGTGGGTAAACTGAGCCACCGAGTGCTTTGGTGACTTGCGAGCGCTGACACAGTAGGTGGTAGAATTAGGCACTGGGCTCACACCTGTACAACTCCTAAGGCTACAAGTGTTCTTTCCAATGCACTCTTTAAATCCTAGGCATTACAGCACAGCCTTTATGCTAATCCCTGCTAACCGCTGGAATCAGCTAAGGAAGTGACTTCTGCCCAGAGAACCAGCAGTTCTAAATGGACTTGCTGCAAACACTGAAACTTAAACAAAAGAGGTCTATTTGGCACTCAAAGTAATAAACAAAATACCAAGACCATAGGAGTGTTCCCCAAACTTACAAAGATGGCACTCAGTTTGTATAATGGCATCACTGCAGAGAAATCCCTCCTGGGCTTCTCAGAAACTCTTCTGGAGGATGGTGGATTAGCAGTATGTTCTAGACAGTGTCTCTCTCAAGTGCTGGGGGACGAAGTGAGCCTCGGGCCTCACCAGTGGAGACCAAGTCCCTGGGAAGGTCAGATCAGCTGGAAAAGGCAGCTGCCCGGCACAGCCAGGCTCACCAGGCAGATGTGCTATGCACACACAGACAGACGCGCAGGAGGGCACATGTACACAGCCCATCACACCACACAGTACCCACATCTGTCTACACCCACACTTCACAGATTGACCCATACACAGGCAAACACAGACACAAACACACATGTGTGCACAGCAGGTGATCCCTTGTGTCCCCTGGCTATACACAGGCATCAACAGACACCCACATCTCGCAGACATAGCCCCATGTGCACAGAGGCATAAACACACACATACCACACACGCACCTCCCCTTGTCCCTTATTGTCACTGCAGCCTCTCCTGCCTCCCTCTTTGAGGGAAGCTCCAGACACCTGGGCTAACCCAGCCCCACAGGCCCTCATGAATGCCATTCCCAGTGCAATGCTTTAGGGCTGGCTCTGGAGGCACTGTGCCTCCTGCCCCTGATCAATAACAAGGTCTGGAAAGAAAAGTCAGGGCCATTTATGGGTCCTAATGACAACTGCTCTTGGTAATGGCCAGTCCTGCAGTGACCCAAGTATGAGTTGATTACAGGTTCTGGTTCCCACTCTGCACACGCAGAACGCAGGTGTCCCGGGGCACTGACCGCTGCAGATGGCCCCTTTCCTGACGGCCAGGGCAGCTGTGCTGACCTCATCAGCCACCTCCCGAGGGCTCCTTCAAGTGGGTGGCCCTGAGCAGGCCCAGACCCAACAGGCACCACCCTGAGCCCTCTCCTCAGGGACATGGCTCCAGGGCTCCTCTCCCCCTCCCACCCTCACTCAGAGGCTCCCTGTCCAAAACGTCTCACCACTGGTGTCTGCAGTTCTGCCATTAGGACTTCATTATTTGATTAATGAGGTCTTCCTCTTCTTGTCCTCCTCTTCCTCCTCCTTTTGTCTTTTTTTTTTTTTTTTTGAGGTCTTTTTTAAAGATGTAAGACAGTCATGTTTTAAAATAGGTTCCCAGTGTCTCTGTGTTGCCAACAAGGCCGAATCTCCATTCTGTAAGAAAGCAGTCAGATAGCTGCACAAGCTGTCTTTTGCCTGTTTTGTCATCATTTCTAGACACTCGCCACTACAGCCTGATAAGCTAACCACAAAAAGATTCACCACTCCCCAGTGCAGCGTCGCAGCTCCTGGTCTGATCTCCGCTGGGATTATCTTCCTAGGCCCACCTTTGCTGCCTGACAAATGCCTACTAGGTCCATGGAGGACAAATGCCTACCAGGTCCATGGAGGACAGCACAGGGTCTCTCATCTCTGCAGCTCCCCTTTCTCATTTCCTTGAAGACCAGCTCCCTGCTCTATGCTCCCATGGCTCCCAGCTCTTCTCTATCACAGGCATCTCTGCATCTCCTGACCTCCTCTAGATGGTAAGTCCTGGCAGAGCAGAACTACTTCCCAGTCACACCCCATGACCATTTTCTGGACATTCACCAGCGTGGAGCCCAGTATGCATACCATGCAATTAGCCTTGACTGGGTCTGTGACACTAACATGAGATTAGGTTAATCCAGGCGTTTCCTCCCTGAGGCAGGAAACACCATGAGGAGCAGCACAAAGGCACTGTGAGCCAGGGCTGGAGCATGGACAGAGGCACCTTGGCGAAGCCTGTGACAAAGCCAAAGCTTCTGCCTCAAACAGGCCCCAGGAGTGCAGACAGCAAGGTACCCCAGTGTGGCCAGGGGCCCCTCAATACAGACACCCTCAACCTCTCCTCCAAAACTCACCAGCCCCTGTCTGGCCAGCCCGAGGCTCACTGCAGGGCTTCACACTCATAACACACTTCAAAGGCAACACACCCCAGGCAGAATTACACCATTAAAAACCTCCACTCCTGGACTCAGGTGTGCAGGTAAAAGCTATCTATGGCCAACAGAGTTTTCACCTTCCTTACCCAGGGCTTAACTTGGGTTCAGAGCACTTGGAGGGAGGAGACGGCTGCAGAATTCTTTGCAGCAAGGACCCCATAGCAGCCCCTTTTGGCTCTGATTATTGATATGGTTAGGATTTGTGTCCCCACCCGAATCTCTTCTTGAACTATAATCCCCAGGTGTTGAGGGAGAGACTTGGTGGGAGGTGACTGGATCACAGGGACAGTTTCCCCCATGCTGTTCTCATGATAGTGAGTGAGTTCTCACAAGAGCTGATGGTTTTATAAGGGGTTCTTCCCCCTTCACTTCCTTCACACACTCTCACCTGCCGCCATATAGAACGTGCCTGCTCCCCCTTATGCCATGGCTGTAAGTTTCCTGAGGTCTCCCCAGCCATGTGGACCTGTGAGTCAATTAAGCCTCTTTTCTTTATAAAGTGTCCAGAATGGTGTAGTATCTTTATAGCCTGTGAGAACAAACTAATACAATTATGGAGACTTCCCTCTTCCCAAGCCCTGGGAAGAAATGATATCAACACTTCTGTTTACACAGCTAAAATCTTTTTGGATGTGGATTCTAGTCAACAGATGTGGTATAGACTAAGCAGGACTCAGTAAAAGCCCAACGATTGTTGAATTATCTCTGCAAGAGTGCACACCTTCTGCAGGTGGTTAGATTTTCAAAAGAAAACACATGCACAAACACACATCATGAACCTGTTTTTAAATGAATGTGTGTTAAGAGTAAAGACCCTGTAACTGGAGAGTTTGGGTGCCGGCTGGCATTTGGCACTGTGCGGACATCTTGGCTTCTAGTGCCTCTACATCTCAGAACAAAGGTCGGGACTCTTTCCAGCCAGCCCTGCATCCTGTAAGTGGAAGCAGTGGCTGCGGGTTACATGGAGATGAGAGGCCGCTCTCAAGGCTCAAATCTTGCCTGTGCACTTCTCAGCACCTTGCCCAGGGCTGACAACAAGTGCTTACCTGACTGAACTCCTTCCCCTCGCAGCTATGCACTCCCTGGGTGTCATCTCTGACTCGGGCCCATGGCCACAACCACGAGGGAACCCTGAAACACATGGGCCATTCATTCCAACTGCTGCACCACAGGAGCAGGTGCAGCCTTGCTGGGACCTCGTCACCGTCACCCTTTGAGCTGGGTACACAGACAGCTGCAAATCGGAAGAAGCAACTCCCCCTCCCATACCTCGATCCAGCCTTTGAGTCCCCACGCTGTGGGCCAGGGCTAACCAGAACACAGAATGGGGAGTGAGTTGTTATAACTGACAAATGACAAACCAACATTCTCCTCTGTATTTATTTACCAGCTTAGGTTTCATCAATTGAAGAATTACTACTTGCTTTGAGTCTTAACTCCCTTTCCCTGTCCTCGTCTCCTAACACCAGGAATGCCCTCCTCTACTTTCTCCATTAATCTTCAGCCTGACAGTTAGATCCTCATCTCCTCCAAGAAACTTCCCTGAATTTCTCCAGGCCCCACCGAACACCCCTCTCTCCTTCAGGCCTGAGAGCTAGAACTACACACAAAGGCATCTGAAGATACAAAGAACAGAGACAAACAAGCATGGCAAAGGCCTGTCTCACCCACCAGATTCTTGGGGGTTTTGTGGGGGGGTTTGTTTTTGTTTCTGTTTTGAGACAAGGTCTCGCCCTGTTTCAGACCCAGGCTGGAGTGCAGTGTCCTGAACACAGCTCACTGCAACCTCGACCTCGCAGGCTCAAACGCACGTCCCACCAAGTAGCTGGGACCACAATGTGCCACCACATCTGGCTTTTTTTTATTTTTTGTAGAGACAGGGTCTTGAACTCCTGGGCTCAATCTTCCTGCCTCAGCCTCCCAAAGCACTGGGATTACGGGCGTGAGCCACCACACTTGGCCTCCAGATTCTTAAATATGTTGAGGGCAAGAACAGGGTCCTCCATATGGTGCTGAGACCAAAGGAAAAGTGGAGGGTGCCCAGGCTGTCTATGAGCCTGAGAGGCAAGCACAGCAGGCTGGCACGGCCACCCTATGGAGTACCACAGGAGGGAATGCGCTCTCCAGGCACCAGCTGTTCTCAGGGTTTAAAGTGCTTATCCAGGCTTGTTTCTAGCTCTGGTGCCACCGACATACAGTTGGGGATTTCCTTCAGCCATAAGCCATTCCCCAAAGCTGAATGCATCCGTTGCGGAAGACGCCAGTGTGAAATAATTTTCAAAGAGCTCACAAAGAGAAGAGAACACATCTGAGGTAGTCCCAAAAGGAAATGTCCTGCGGAGAAAGCTGATGGAAGGGCTAGAGAAAACAAGAGAGAGAAAATCCCCCTCATAATCCTGCCTGAATGAGAAAGAACATCATTTAGAGAAGCTGGTTTCTCGTTTTCTCCCCACTGCCAAAGTACTATTTTGGCATCTCTTTACAACTCACAGACATCCTTTCAGAATTTGTAAATGATTTCCCTTAATTCCTGCCCTACAGAAAATACCTCTTTTATGCCTTCAAATATATGCAAGTCAGTAAGCATCTATTACCTGCACATCAGTCCCTAAGAACTGTCAAATAACCTCAGCCCTCAGGCTCACAGCCCCCCAAACCTAACAGACCAACACCTTTTACATTCAAGACTCAAACATGTATATGGAAGCTCTGCACATGCACCGAGATCTCAACCCCAAAAGCCCAAACAGACACAAATGTCACCTTCTCTCAGGAGTCCCCAGTTCTTGCTCCTGCCCCTTTGAGGAGTTGAGATGAGAAGGACCCAGGGTGCAGCATGAGTTATGGGAGCTACCCACAACCATCTTAAACTCAGCCCTGCAGGAAGAACCCCAAGGCTAGTGGGACACAGAAACTCCAGCATCTGGGGCTGGCTGGGACTGTAAGAACAAGCAGTTTATAATCCAGCAGTCTCCCTGAAAAAACCACTATCATTCACTACAGGCCGGTGCAGTGGCTCACGCCTGGAATCCCAGCACTTTGGGAGGCCAAGGTGGGCGGATCATGAGGTCAGGAGCTCGAGACAAGCCTGGCCAACATGGTGAAACCCTGACTCTACTAAAAATACAAAAATTAGCCAGGCATGGTGGCACGCGCCTGTAATCCCAGCTACTCAGGAGGCTGAGGCAGGAGAATTGCTTGAACCCAGGAGGCAGAGGTTTCAGTGAACTGAGATCACGACACTGCATTCCAGCCTAGATGAGCAAGAGAGACTCCATCTCAAAAAAAAAAAAGAAAAGAAAAGAAAAGAAAAAAAGTTAGCCAAGCGTAGTGGTGGGTGCCTGTAATCCCAGCTACTTGGGAGGCTGAGGCAGAAGAAATGCTTGAATCCAGGAGGCAGAGGTTGCAATGAGCCAAGATCACACCACTGCACACCAGCCTGGGCGACAAGAACAAGAGGCTGTCAAAAAAAAAAAAAATCACTACAGTACCTTCCCTGGAAAGACCTGGAAGACTTCATTTCATCTCTTCCCCATCATCACCATTCATGTGTCCATCCACCCCCTCACTTAAATATGTGCTGCGGCACTCACAGAACTCGACTTACCTAATTCCCAAATGGGTCTCCCACAGCCACCCACTAGCAAAGCCAGAGACACTGGGGCAGCATCTGCAGCAAATTTTTTTTTTTTTTGCCACTGTCATTAACACTCAGCAGAATCCAGAAGATGACTTCACCCTCTACCACCACGCCCTAGTTCCGGCTCCCAAATCAGTCAACATGTCCAGCCCCTGCCAAAGTGGTTCAACAAATGTCTATTTTCAAAGAAACCTAAGCTGGCTGCGTCTGGTTCACTGTCCTCATAACTCATCACCAACTATTTGTGGGATGCGAAGGGGAACCATCCTGAGCCTGCCCCCTCTGAATTAGGAAGTCCCCAGGTGCCAGCAGTAAGAGGCACTCAAACCCAGGGAGGCTCACGCTACAGGGGCAGCTCCTGCACACACTGACGATGGGGCAAGTCCCTCTTCTTGGTCGCCCAGACAGACAGACTGCGGTGCCAGGTCCTCTGAGCACGGTGGGAGTGACAAGCACGAGCGGCAGTCCAGACCCCCTACACAGCAAAGCTATAGTTCAAATATGTATTGTATGTGTCTGGTTTTCACACGGAGTTTGCAACCTGCCAGTTAGTAGTGTTTACCTTGGTAAAAATTCACGGGAAATCTTAGTCTGAACAGGCCCAGAGTTTATTTTACTGCCAGATAAACAACTTTCTTTGATAAATCATCCATGTGACAGTGTTCCTGAAAGACTAAACAAAGATTTCAAGCACAATCTATAGGCCTTTGAGAAGCCTTCCAAAGCGAACGCATGTTTAATTGGCTGCCCTAAGGTCGAGGCAGGCCAATGGTCTGACATTTCCTTGGCCATTTGTTCTTCTTAAATACACACACACACACACAGATTGGAGCTTCCAGCACATTTCTGCAAAACTGGATGAAACTTACCAATATTTAAATGCTCATTCGCCTTATAATGCATAGTCTATTTTTTGGTTAAAGGAAGTGAATATCACGAGGCAGGTATTGGGGTCGGGGAAGGGAAAACTGCCCCAGAGATACTGCTGGGAAAAAAAGGGGACAGAGGTAAGTAAAAACAGCACAAAGGGGCTCTGAAGTCCCTCATACATAAGTCCTGCTAAATTAGAAGGAGAACATGTTAGGTACAGGGTTTCTAAAAAACACACAAATGAAACTTCAGTGGGCCTATCCTGGAACACCAGGCAGTCACAGCTCCCACATTCAGCCCTCATCACTGTCTGGAGGCTTCCAGGTTTACCTTGACATAAGGATGTCATCTCACCAAAACCCAGATCTCCTAACTTCTAGTTAGGGTTTGGCTTTCCGAGGGGGAGTTGTTTGTTATTGTTATTGTTAACTACAGCACCTTGAAGCTGCATAAAGCAGTTTTTTTGTTGGTTTTTTTTTTCTTTTGAGAAAGAGTTTCGCACTGTCGTCCAGACTGGAGTGCAGCAGCACAATCTCAACTCACTGCAACCTTGGTCTCTAGGTTCAAGCGATTCTTCTGCCTCAGCCTCCTGAGTAGCTGGGATTACAGGCGCCTGCCACCATCCCCAGTTAATTTTTGTATTTTTAGTAAAGATGGGGTTTTGCCATTTTGGCCAGGCTGGTCTTGAACTTCTGACCTCAGGTGATCCACCCACCTTGGCCTCCCAAAGTGCTGGGATTACAGGCATGAGCCACCGCGCCCGGCAGCCTAAAGCTATTAAAGGTCTTCCAAATGGGTTTTTAAAAACACTTCTTCAGTTGAATCCTCTGTTAACCAGAGAATTAACTAGCATATTCCATTCTTCTTCCTAAAAAACTTCTCCCCCAACAAGCTGATTTCATTAGTGCTAGAATTTTCCTTCCTGGGCTAAATTTCATCCTAAAACAATTCTTTCCAATAAGAAGATTTAATAATTATTACAGATTGAACAGCCACCGTATTCCAGGAACTGTGCACACTTGATTAAATCCAATTCTCCCAACACAGTCATGTAGGAATTCTCATCCATAGTTGGCTGATGAGGAGCCAGGCTGAGGGAGGTTAAGAGACTTTCTGGTGGTCGCTTAGCTTAATGGGTTGGGATTTAATCCAAGTCTGTTTGGCCCAGAGCCCGTGTTCTTTCCATTCTGCTACACTGCCGGCTTTCCCACCAATAAGGGAGCCACTGATTGCTGAGCTCCTTCTGTGTGCTGGGCACAGACATCAGTCCATTTAAATTCTACAAACCCTGAGGGTAAAGGAGCACCTGATGCCCCTGCCCAGGAAGCTCCTCAACTACTGTCCACCGTGATGGGTGTGAGAGGATGGGAAGGAGCAAGGGTGTGCAATCTGGCCTGGCTGCCAGGGAAGTGCTGGTGGGCAGTAACAGGGTTCCAGGTACAGTGCTCCTGGGTCATTGAATGCCTAACTCCTTTACTTTTTTTGTCTTATTGCCTTCAGTCAGTAAGGTGAGGGCATGGACTGGCTGATCTCTGATGTCCTATCCAACTCAACATTGCTTTACAATGGCAAAGTGGTACAGGGGCTCACTTCAGTAGCACACATGGTAAAACTGGAACAATACAGAGAAGATTCACACGGCCACCGTGCAAGGAAAACATGTGAGTTCGTGAAGTGTTCTGTATTTTCAAAGGATAAGATGTAGGATACAGTCTTCAGTAGCACAGCTAGGCAACTATAGTTAACGATCATTTACTGTATATTTCAAATTACCTAGAAGAGTAGATTTGGAACATTTCCAACACAAAGATCAGGATTTCAGGTTAGATATCCCAATTACTCAATTTTTTTTTTTTTTTTTTTTTTTTTGAGACAGAGTCCTGCTTTGTTGCCCAGGCTGGAGTACAGTGGTGTGATCATGGCTCACTGTAGCCTCAAATTCCTGGGTTCAAGCAATCCTCCCACCTCAGCCTCCCAAGTAGCTGGGACTATAGGTGTGTGCCACCATACCCAGTTAATATTTAATTTGTAATGGGGATGGGGTTTCAGTATGTTTCCTGTGGTGTTGAGGCTAGTCTGGAATTCCTGACCTCAAGCAGTCCTTCTGTCTCACCCTCCCAAAGCACTGAGATTACAGATGTGAGACAGCATGCCCAGCCCCAGTTACCCAGGTTTGATCATTACACATTGGATGCTTTTATCAAAATATCAAACATACTCCATAAATATGTGCAACTAATTTATATCCATTAAAAAAAATTTAAGTGGTACAGGTGAGCAACACAGCACCCAAAGAAACGGGCAGTTCGCATGAGCTGTGAACAGCCCCCTCGTCCCACTCGTCCCTTGTCCCTTCTTCTTTACCCACCTCCAGAAAAGCTTCAGAAAATAAAGGTGAACTTGAGGGCAAATCCTTCTCTCCACTCCCCTTCTTACGAGAGTTTGTAGTCGT